ACCAAGATGCATCATGTAAAGGTACAATTCCCAATGAGAAATGTAATTGTGTTGTATACCTAAAATGTACCAATAAAAGAATTTAAGAAAAAAAAAAAGTTACAGGTGCAGGTATTTTTGTCTCAGCAACAGGAAAAGTGACTAAAACACCTTTCCCTGTACGTTTGATTTTACGTGATTGCATTTGCTCCAGTTGAACTGGAATTACTAAAAAATGTACTGTGACTCATGACAGGCCCAGTACAAGAGGAGCTCCACTTCCACCCCCAAATAGCAAGTTTCCATCCTTACAGGAATGGAGAAACATCATCTGTTTTGTGTTACTTTTCATATTCCTTATTCTTCCTGGAAGAAGTATCAGACTGTTTGGTGGGAACCCGATAATAATACCAAATGTTACCATACTTCTTATTCCATACTAGTTCACCAGCAAATGAGGTCCCCATATTACTGGAATGCCAGCCTCCAGGCAGAATGCCTGTTACATGGGAAGCCCTCAGGAAAAGAGATTTGCTGATGATAACTGAGTAGATGGATTATGATTGTACAGACCAGACTAATTCTAATTATTTGGACAAATGGAGGCAAGAGAAAATTCTTAATATATTACCCGTGCTCCAGGGGGAAAAAAAGCCTATTATATGTTAACTGGTCCACTCCAGCACTGTTTTGAGAACATGGAAAACACTCCTAATATTCCCAAATTCCCATATTCAGGGAATAATTAATCAAATTCCAGTCCTACCAGCAGATGAAATTATATGTAGTCCCTACAAATGAAGTTTATGGAAAGGTTTTAAGGAAGTAGGACACTGGATGTTATCTCAGAATATAAGATTACTACATACATCCAGGATAACCTTATCTACATAAAAGAATATAGTTGAACAAAACAAAAAACATGGCTATAATATGAAAATTACTGATTGTAGATGGTGATGAAATTATGGATTATATTTTCTCTTTTTCTTTAACATTTCTATAGTCCAGATATTTTTTAAAAATATAATTTCTTGGGCCAGGGATTTATCTCTGGTTCTGTCTCCTGCCTCTCAAGCACAAGGACCCAAGTTCAATCCCCAGTACCAAAAAAACAAAACAAAATATATAATTTCTTTTTTTCTAGGTAGTATGATTTTTAAAAATTTTTTTTACTAGTACATGTTTGCAGTACATGATGATTACATTGATCACGGGGAGTTGATACATGTATATAACACATCTTAATTCTTTTTAAAATTCCCCTTACCATCCCCTCCCCCTCAAATTCCTCTTCCATTTTGTGGAAGTTCTATCTCCCTATTTTTTATTATCTATCCTTTATTTGTTTTATAATTTGTTTATACTTTGGGTTTCTCATGTAAGAGAAGCCATACAATATTTAACCTTGTGTTTCTGATTTCTTTCACTTAACATTATGGTTTCAAGGTGCATCCATTTTCCAACAAATGACTCAAATTTATCCTTCTTTATGGCAGAGTCATAAAAACCACTCTCTTACTTACTTTTCTCATTGCTGAGACACAATACCTAACACCCAAAGTTAAAGGAGGAAGGGTTTATTTACCTCACAGTTTGTAGAGGTTTCATTCCATAGTTGGCTGGCTCCGTGGCAGGCTGGCATGGCAGAGGGGTGTCGCAGAGGAGAAACAGTTCATGGCAGGCAGAAGGTAGGAGGCCAGCAAAGCAGTGAAGTAGTGAGGAAACAGCAGCAGCAGCCTGCCTCTCCCCTTTATCATCCCCTCCAGGCTACCTGCCTTTTGGGTGGTGCCACCCACACTCAGGATGAGCCTTCCTATTAGCCACACCCAGAACTATGCCAAACCAATCTGTGGACTAATTTAGTAATCACACACCCTTAATTCCACCATCACACACTTAATCCCAGGATCACACACCCTAGATCCAGCCACCTCTGAAAAGACCCACCTATGACTGCATGAGGGTTTGGGGGACAACTAGGCACAGCCATAACAACCACATATACAATTTCTTGAGTCAGCAAAGGTTTTGTAAGTCAAATAAAAATAATAATAATTAAAGAACCACCACCAACAAAAACTGGACCATTCAGAGAACAGCACCACCTTGGCAGGGTGAAGCCCACCAGCGAAAGTACTGATACGTGTGAAGGACTCCAGTACAGGTTTACTGCACCTCAGCAGGACTCAACTGCTTTCCCTGCCAGGACCTTGAAAACAGCGTGTCCACTCTGTTTGCAAAGTGTTTGAATGTTTATTTGGGAGTTTTGAGGGGAGTGGTCCTAGAGGGCACTCCTTGCTCCCCTCCTGTCTTACACTGTTAGCAGTCACAGAGCCCAGTTAGGACAATCCTCTCTGATGTAAAATGAAATGTCTGACTTCCTCTAAAATGAAAGAGAAAAAGAGGATCACTGACTCCATCAACTAGAAATGCCTATTGCACACCTACTATGAGAGAAATACTTGCCTTGTGATGGACATAAAGAAAAGGATAAGACAGATAAGATCCCTGTATACTTGAGGCTGTAGCTTATGAAGCTCTCTCCATATACCAAGAAACTCAGAAGAATAACCACACATGTGTCTGGGCAAGATTCTCAGAACCAAAAGGCACTGGCATGGCATGGGAGATAAAGGTCTTCAGTTCTAGAGACCTCTGAGGGCCTGGAGCACTTTTCATGTGTGAAAGAAGACCGAGCCTGGGGCCCATGTGTTGATGCCCTGACCCAGGGACTGAAGCCCATGCCATCGGAAGGAGCATAGTCCCTTGTCACAGAGTTTCTGATACTTAAAATGACCCATAAGAGGGGCAACATATGGGGACTTGAGCCCAGGAAACCTGTGCCAGCCTTTTTTTGTTTTGGTTTGGTTTGGTTTTTGGTGGTACTGGGGATATCACCCAGGGGTGTTCTACCATTGAGCTACCTCCCATCCCTTTAATTTTTTTTTTTTTTTTTT